GGACAGTGTGAGAGAGAGACAGAGAGAAAGGTCTCCTTTTTGCGTTGGTTCACCTCAATGGCCGCCGCTGCAGCCGGTGCACCGCGCTGATCCGATGGCAGGAGCCAGGATCCAGGTGCTTTTCCTGGTCTCCCATGGGGTGCAGGGCCCAAGCACCTGGGCCATCCTCCACTGCACTCCCTGGCCATAGCAGAGAGCTGGCCTGGAAGAGGGGCAACCGGGACAGAATCCGGCACCCTGACCGGGACTAGAACCCGGTGTGCCGGCGCCGCAAGGCGGAGGATTAGCCTAGTGAGCCACGGCGCCGGCTCAAAATTTGGTAAGATTTTTAATCTCAAATGGCTAGGCTATCTTTTAGTGATATAGTGTACTTGAGTAATATTAAGGCTACTTATAGTATTCACAAGGAAAATATCTTTTCCTCCTGTGTCCTGAAATATACAGATTAACTACTTGCTTTCTTTGTTAGTTCTCCACCTGCTGGCTAGAAACAGCATTTATAAAAATACTGTTCTTTAATCAAAATGAGATTTTTTTTAGGCCCTAAGCATCATTCTTTACCCTCATTTGTTCTAATAGGTTCTCTGTAAATTAAGAGAATAATTGCGCTTAAACTGTTCAGTTAGATAATTTTTCTAATGACAGTAATGAAAGGAATAAGTCTTTATTATTCAAAAAAAGTTTCCCAATCTATTAAGTGGTTATGATAGGCTAGGAATTGTACTAAACCTCTTACCTACATTATCTGATTTAATCCTCACAATTCTATGAAGTAGATGCAATGACTCTCTGAATTTTATAACTGAGGAAACTCAGGTTTGAGTAAATTAAGTAACTTATTACACAAGATCATACAGCTCGGTATGAGGTAGAATTTGCTAAGATTTAACCCTTGATGTATTGTCCTTCAGACCGAGGGATACAACCTGTCTCCCTGCTCCTCTTGTATTAAGGTAATATGTAGGGGGGCTGGAGCTGTGGCATAGTGGGTTAAAGCCCTGGCCTGAAGCACCGGCGTCCCATATGGGCACCGGTTCTAGTCCCAGCTGCTCCTCTTCCGATCCAGCTCTCTGCTATGGCCTGGGAAAGCAGTGGAAGATGGCCCAAGTCCTTGGGCCCCTGCACCTGCGTGGGAGACCCAAAGAAGCTCCTAGCTTCAGATCGGCGCAGCTCCGGCCATTGCGGCCATCTGGGGAGTGAATCAACAGATAGAAGACTTCTCTCTCTGTCTATGCCTCTCTCTGTAACTGTATTTCAAATAAATAAAACAAATCTTTAAAAAATAATATATAGGGAACGAAAAGACAAACTGTATGCCTACAGAAACTCCTCCTTATGCTTAAATGTCAATTTTTACAACTCCATAACAAATATGATCAACAATAAGATAACTTGAGTTTTAAGCTTCCAAATACTAAGAAACAAGAGAAAATATAAATTAAGAGAATATACAGATCTTCCTTTCATTTTTCCCTGAAAATGACATATCCTTTAGATAGTTTTCCTGTTTGGTCTCTATCTAAATATTACTCATAGTTTAGCAGAGGTTTAAATAGTTTTGAGGGCTTTGGTTCCTGAAAACCATACATTTTGTGTTTTATAAGTAAAACTTAGGAATTTAAAATATTTTAGCAAAACTTTTAACTGTAACAAAGCATTTGAGAACAAAATTATTACTATAAACATAATGTAGCATTTATACTGTGAACTATTCTGAGATTAAGTAAAATATGTTTTCCTCTGTTTGGTACAGGGCCTGCCTTTTTTATTTTTACTCTCGGAATTGTGAAACTGACAGTACCTTTGGAGGTAGTCAATTGCAATACTTTCTTACAAAGGATAACATTGAAGTCTAACAATATTAAGCTATGTCTAAAAACTAAAGCACAACTTGTCTATTCTAGTCTTGTTTCTATGGTTATATGGAAGACTGCAATGGGTGGCTCTGTAGCACAGTAGGCTGGGCCTCCACCTGTGGTGCCCACAGCCCATGTGGGCGCCAATTCATGTCCAGGCTGCTTCTCTTCCAATCCAGCTCTCTGCTTGTGGCCTGGAAAAGCAGTGGAAAATGACCCAAGTGCTTGGGCTCCTGCACCAGCATGGGAGACCAGGAAGAAGCTCCTGACTTCATATTGTCCCAGCCCTGGTGGTTGTGCCATTTAGGGACAGAACCAACAGATGGGAAACTTCTGTCTCCTCTCTGTAACACTGCCTCTCAAATAAATAAATCTTGAACTACCAGAAAACTATGAACTACTTGCAAATTTATGTATTTCCTCTCATTATTTCATTAATTATACTGAAAAAAATGAAACTGTAGTACATAATATGCCAGAATGTGTAGATTGTATCACTCTTAGAACACTGGAGCAGTACTGGAATAGTTTCTGTTTTGAATGAGATGTTTTTAGAGTAATAATTGTTTAAACAGCATAAGTAAAAATTGAATTTAATGTGCCTTTTTTCTTTAAAGGCTTATTTTTTATTGATTTAAAAGGCAGCATTGAAGAAAGAGGAGGAGAGCTAGAAAGATCTTGGCCATGATGGCTGGGCTGGGCCAGGCTGAAGCCAGGAGTCTGTAGCTTCTTTGGGGTCTCCCATGTGGGTACAGGGTTCCAAGCACTTGGGCCATGTTCTGCTGCCTTTCCAGGTGGACTAGCAAGTAGCTGGATTGGAAGTGCAGCAGCCGAGTCTCGAACCAGCGCACATATGGAATGCTGGCATTGTGGAGGCCTAACATGCTACAACATAATGCTAGCCTCCTTAATGTTACTTTGAAAGCAGTTAAACTATAATCTTTTCTGACTTCTTTATTAGTATATACTTGACAATATTAATAAAATCAACATTTTGCTGTTTCATACCCAGCTTCAACATTTTTGACAATTTAATGCATAAGCTATTAAGTAATCAATGTAGTTAAGACTGAAAAAGAAAGTTTATAATCATCTCTAATTCTAGGTCGGGGACCTGGGAAATTATATAGATGCAATTATGTCTCTGCATATAGAGAAATATTTATTTGAAGTCATATAATAATTTATTTAAAGGTAAAGATCAGACTTTTAAGACAGACTTGGGCTCAGTACTAGCTTAGTTACTATTTGAACTTAGGCCTTGAAGCTTAGTCTCGTCTCTATGACAGGCGTAATAGTAAGACCTGCTATGTATAGTTGTTGGACATAGAAAATATAAACAAGTGGCAATATATTAATCAGTAATAAGTGACTATTTAGATTTTTATTATAATTATTTAGGTTCAAAATCTCATTTTCATTGTTTTATTTATACAGTTCTCTATTAAATTTCTACAAGTTGTAGTAACAGTTTTATAACAACATATAAAGTAATTTAAAATACACTTTTTTTCTTTCTTAGGACTTGAAAATGCCCAGGAAACATGAAACAGAATCTATGAAGGAGGATAAAGCTGCCAGAGTCATTCAGAAGGCCTGGAAACGCTTTCTTGTAAGTTTATGTAACAATTTCATAGAGAGGAAATTTACATGTCATAAAACTTAATAGTTTAAAAATTATACAATTGAATAGTTTTTAGTATATTTACAGAATTGTATACCATCCCTTTAGAGGCATCCTTTTAAAGAAGTTTCAAAAAATTAATTCATTAGCTTCACAAGTATTTCAGTTCCTCATCTGGACCAGGTACTAGTACAATGGCAGAACTCCTTCTAGACCTTGAACCAGTCCTTTCAAATTTTGCTGCTGATTTATCAACTAAATTTATGGGATACTCCAAATTCCTTGTCCTTTCAATGGTGTGCATAGCATCTTTACCAAGAATAGACTTTATCTCAAGAAACTATTTTCTTTACTCATCCATGAGAAATAAGTTCTTACCTGTTAAAGTTTATCATGAGATTGTAGCAATTCTGTCACATCTTCCAACTCTGAATTTTAGGTGTCTTGCTATGTCTACCACATCTGCAGTTGCTTGTACTGAAATCTTGAACATCCCATGAAGGTTGAAAGCAGTCTTTTCCAAGTGCCTGTTAGTGTTGGTTTTTTGACTTCTCCTCCTGAACCTTTACTCTTCTGTATGGCATGTAAAATGGTAAATACTTTCCAGAAGGTTTTCAATTAACTTAGTGGGTATCCATAAGAGTCACTTCATATGGCAACAATAGCTTCATTGAATCTGTTTCATGAATAAGAAGATGTGGAAGTTGAAATTACTCCTTAGTGCACGGGCTGAAGGATGGATTTCATATGAACAGGCATAACAGCCCCATTGATCTCATTGTACATCTTCATTAGAGCTGTTAGGTGATCAGGTGCATTGTTAGTGAGAAATCATATTTTGAAGTAAACTTGAGCAATAGGTCTCAACACTGGAGTTAAGATACTCAGTAAGCATGTTTTTAAAAAATATTCTGTCACTTAGACTTTGTTTTTCCATTCCTACAGTACAGGCAGAATAGACTTGAAATAATCCTGTTTCTTAGGATTTTGAGAATTGTAACTGAACATCTCCTTCCATGAAAAGTGATCAGGAGCATCATCCTTTTACAAGAGACTTGGAAAACTTTGAAGCCAGGCATAGACTTTTGCTCTCTAACTGTGAAAGTGTTAATGGTATCTTTCTCAAATAATACTGTTTGCCCACACAGAAAAAGTGATCGCTTGGTGGAGCCACCTTTGTTATTTATCTCCCCAAGCCATTTGTGTAGTGAACCAGTAGATGGAAGATATATTCATTCATTCATTCATTCATTCTCTCTCTCTCTCTCTCTCTCTCTCTCTCTAACTTTCTGTGTGTGTGTTTATTCCTCTCTGTTACTTGGCCTTTCTAATAAAATATTTTTAAGAATTAAAAAAAAGGAATAATTATACTAGATGTGTAGATGCCAACATAGGGATCAGGAAACATGAAGAAACAAGGAAGAACTTAATAATTTTCCAGAAATAGATTCTGATCTGAAGGAAATTTTAAAAAATGCAAAACAATGATATGCAAGAGAATACAGGTAAGACCATTTAAAGAATTGAAGGAAACAATAGGTAATAGGAACGAGAAATTCAGTAAAAGATAGAAATGAGTGAAATGAACCAAACAGATTTTGAAACTGAAAATCAAAGTCAAGGAAATAAAATATAGCTGAGAGCTTTCACAGCAGAATAGACCAAAGAGAAGGAAGAATTTCTCATCTGGAAGACAAAGCTTTTGAAATTACTCAGACAAAAATAAAGAGAAAAGAATTAAAAAGAATGAAGAAAGCCTATCATACATATGGGATACTATTAAGATTCTTACTTTTTCATATAGTCCAATTTCTTTTTGTTTTACATTTGGTGTCATATCAAATGAATCATTACTAAGTCCAATGTCATGGAATTCTTGCTCTGTTTTTATTCCTCTGTATTGTGATTTTAACCTTAATTTAAGTCCTTTAAGCATCTTTAAGTATGGTTGTATATGGTGTAAGGTAAGGGTCCAATTTCATTATTTTACTTATGGACATAGACCTTTCATAGTACTATTTGTTGGAAAGACTGTCCTTCCTCCATTAAGCAATTCTGGCACTCTTACAAGTTTATCACATTTGTAATAATACATTTTTGAGTTCTCTATTTTGTTCCATACCTGTTCTTATGTCAATACCAAACAATTTTGATCTTTGTAGATTTAGTAGGTTTTGAGCTCAGAAAGTTTGACTTTTCCACTTCATACTTTGTCAGTTTTAAATTACTTTTCAAGATTATCTTTGTTTTTCAGGGTTCCTTGAGATTCCATATGAATTTTAATATGGGCTCTTCTGTTTATTTACATAGTGCCATTCTATTTTATACAGCAAATTTATTAGTCTTTGGATCAGTTTGTGTGATACTGACATACAAATATTAAATCTTTTATCCCATGAATTTGGGATGTCTTTTTTTCTTAGTGTCTTCTTTAATTTAATAATAATTCTGCTTTGATGACATTTAAAAATTTTATTACTGAAGAGAACAGATTTCCTGTATTTTATAGGCAGTACTTCAAGAAAATAACCATACTTCCCTTCCCCTCCCCCGATGCCTTCCTTCTTTTCTTCCCCTAGAATTTTTACCATAACATAATTTCAATTCACTTTATAATCAAAGGCTTAATGCACCACTAACTATAATGTTCAACAAGTGAAAAACAGAAAGACCACTGTTCCACAGGCATATAGACAAGGGATATAATCAATAAAAATCATAAGATGTCAGTTTCATTCATATACATTCATTCATACATATTCATATATTCACAGATCATACTAACTACCGCATACCAGAGAAAATGTATGATATTTGTCTTTTGGGGACTGGCTTATTTCACTAAGCATAGTGGTCTCCAGTTGCATCCATTTTGTTGCAAAAGACAAGAGTTCATTCTTCTGTATGACCGAGTGCTATTCCTGTGATTGGAAGTGAACATGCATACAGAGAACAAGTGTCTCCACACTTAGTGTCCATTTGGAGAAGTGTGTAGGCCTGTGCACATATTCTTTGGTAGATCTTTTTGTCATCAAATTTCTGATTATGTTCTTTCCAAATACCTGATCACCCAGCAAAATATCAGTCACCACCAGTTTTCTAGATCTATACTTCTGGTCTTAAATATTCCTTCCACATATAATAGACAATCAGGTTTATTACTTGAGATTTTACCCCGTAGAAAAATGTCCCTTCACCATTGTGCTTCAGGCCGCCTCTAAGTGAGGCTCTGCTGTGCATAGAACTTCCTATGTCTCAAACCATGTACTTGATTTCCTGTATCCTACTGGGACCTGAGTTTGACCAGTAGAATGCAGAATAAGTATTGCTGTATGAATCCATGACAAGGCTTAAGAAGCCTTGTAATATCTAGAAAATGATTGTATTTATTGAACGCTCTCTGGTGCCAGATAGTACCCAAAGTGCTTTACACATATTAACTCATTTGTTTTTCATCGTAGCTGTGTGAAATAGCTGACTATTCCATTTTTAGATGAAAAAACTAAGCACAGAAAGGTTAAGCAACTTGCTCAGAGTCCTGCAACTGAAGTACTAATAACTGAACCCAGATAATAGGCCATACTTTGTATTCTTATCAAGTAAGCTGTGCTTTGTTTTTCTCCTAGATTACTCTAGAGAGAATACATAGATAGTACAACTTAAGTTTTGAGTATTTATAGTTGATAGTGATGTAATAAGAAATTCAAGGGTAAAAGTCTTTGAGAATAATACCAGTATTATCCAGCTTGTCAAATTAAATTCCGAGTATATAATATATCTAAAATACAGCTTTTGTACATAAGTCTCTTCTATTGTTTTTATTCCTTTTTCCCTACTTAGGCAAAAAGATAATTAGAAGTACAAAATCTAGTTTTGACCATAAAATCTTATGTGTTTGAACCTTTAGAATATTGCTGTGTTTGAGCACTTTAAAAGCCTGATTAATTTAAGAAGACAAGGGGAGCCACGTCAGGTAGTCAAGTACATCAATCCTAAGGAGGTAAGGGCATCCTTAATTTAACATCTTATTTTTATCTTAACAATTTGACTACTTTACCAGTTCAGTGTGTTCACATTTGTCTCTTTTTCTTAAAACTTTATTATTGAAGTCCTACATGTTTAAAGTTCCTAAAGTAAAACATATAGCTCAGTTCATCATCACAAGCACACACCTGTGTATGAACTCAACTCAGAGATTCCATCCTTGAAATCACTCCCTTCAGGGGCCCAGAAAATCTCAGCCAACTTCCTTCTTCCAAAAGATGACCACTAGTTTGAGTTCTAACATTGCATTTTAGTTTTCTGGGTATTTAAAAAACTTTTTAAATTGATTTGAAAGATTCCTCCATTTTGTTGCAAATGACTGGATTTCGTTGTTTCTTACTGCAGTATAGTATTCTAAAGAGTACATATCCCATAATTTCTTTATCCAGTCTACCGTTGATGGGCATTTAGGTTGGTCATTTGCAACAAAATGGAGGAATCTGGAACACATCATGCTGAGTGAAATAAGCCAGTCCCAAAGGGACAAATACCATATGTTCTCCCTGATCGGTGACAACTGACTGAACACCAAAAAGGAAACTTGTTGAAGTGAAAGGGACACTATGGGAAACGGTGACTTGATCAGCATAGCCCTGACTGTTAATGAACAACTTAATACATTATCCCTCTTAGTAGTTTTTTTGTCTGTTCTACTTAATATGACTGATTTAATTCTGTAATTAATACACAGTTATTCTTAAGTGTTGAAATTTAACTGAAATGTGATCCCTGTTAAACATAAGAGTAGGAATAAGAGAGGGAAGAGATATATAATTTGGGACATGCTCAAGCTGACTTGCCCCAAATGGTAGAGTTAGAAACATACCAGGGGACTCCAATTTAATCCCATCAAGGTGGCATGTACCAATGCCATCTCACTAGTCCAAGTGATCAATTTCAGTTCGCAATTGATCATAATGAAAGGACTAAGAGTCAAAGGGAGCACATAAGCAAGTCTAGTACCTGCTAACACTAACCGATAGAATAAATAAAGGGGAGAGTGATCCAACATGGGAAGTGAGATACTCAGCAGACTCATAGAATGGCAGATGCCCTAAATAGCACTCTGGCCTCAGAATCAGCCCTAAAGGCATTCGGAGCTGGCTGAAAAGCCCATGAGAGTATTTCAGGCATGGAAAGCCAAGACACTCTGGCAAAAGATCTCTGTGAGTGAGATCTCAGTGGAAAGAACAGGTCTTCAAAGAAGGAGGTACCTTTCTCTGAAGGGAGGAGAGAACCTCCACTTTGACTATGACCTTGTCTAAACAAGATAAGAGTCGGAGAACTCAAGGGGCTTCCATAGCCTTGGAAACTCATGACTGGAGCATAGGGAGATTACTGATGCCATAGACAGGAGTGTCAATTGGTAAAGTCAACAACAGGAGTCACTGTGCACTTACTCCTCATGTAGGATCTCTGTCCTTAATGTGCTGTGCATTGAGATTTAATGCTATAACGAGTACTCAAATAATATATTTCACTTTGTGTTTCTATGGGGGTGCAAACTGTTGAAATCTTTACTTAATGCATACTAAACTGATCCTCTGTAAAAAAAAAAAAAAAAAAAGAAAAGAAAAGAAAAGAAACTATCAACTCCCAACTTGACTCTCACTGGGATTAAACATGACAATAGGTCTGATCTGATTTCATCATCATTAAAAAAAATCATCTATTATTTTTCACTTTATGTTTCTGTGTGGGAGCAAACTGTTGAAATCCTTACTTAATGTATACTAAGCTGATCTTCTGTATATTAAGATAATCGAAAATGAATCTTGATGTGAATGGAAGGGGAGAGGGAGTGGGAAAGGGGAGGGTTGTGGGTGGGAGGGACGGTATGGGGGGGAAGCCATAGTAATCCATTATTCGTACTTTGGAAACGTATATTCATTAAATAAAAGTTAAAAAAAAAATTGATTTGAAAGAGAGAAATAGACAAGGAAAGACTTTCTATCCACTAATACACTTTCCAAATGTCTGTGACAGGCAGAGTTGGGCCAGAGTAAAACCAGGAGCCAGGAACTCATTCCTGGTTTCCCATATTGACAGGGACCCAAGTACTTGAGCTGTCGCCTGATGGCTCCCAGGGTATGTATCAACAAGAAACTGGAATTCAAAGTGGATCCAAAACTGGAACCCAGGCACTAATAGGGCATGTGGCTGGCCAGTTCGTGGCTATTATAATAACTCCTTGTGTAGATGTTCTTATTCATGTCTCCTGGTGCATACAGACACACATTTCTTTTATATTTCTTTTTTTTTCATTCTTTTTTAACTTTTATTTAATGAATATAAATTTCCAAAGTACAGCTTATGGATTACAGTGGCTTTTTCCCCCCCATAACTTCCCTCCCACCAGCAACCCTCCCCTCTCCCACTCCCTCTCCCCTTCCATTCATATTGATTCATTTTCAATTATCTTTATATACAGAAGATCAATTTAGCATATATTAAGTAAAGCTTTCAACAGTTTGCACCCATAGAGAAACACAAAGTGAAAAATACTGTTTGAGTACTAGTTATAGCATTAAATCACAATGTATAGCATATTAAGGATAGAGATCCTACATGAGGAGTAAGTGCACAGTGACTCCTGTTGTTGACTTAACAATTGACACTCTTATTTATGGCATCAGTAATCACCCTAGGCTCTTGTCAGGAGTTGCCAAGGCTATGGAAGCCTCTTGAGTTCGCCAACTAAGATCTTATTTAGACAAGGTCATAGTCAAAGTGGAAGTTCTCTCCTCCCTTCAGAGAAAGGTACCTCCTTCTTTGATGGCCCCGTCTTTCCACTGGGATCTCACTCGCAGAGATCTTTCATTTAGGTCATTTTTTTTTTTTTTTTTTTGCCAGAATGTCTTGGCTTTCCATGCCTGAAATACTCTCATGGGCTTTTCAGCCAGATCCAAATGCCTTTAGGGCTGATTCTGAGGCCAGAGTGCTGTTTAGGACATCTGCCATTCTATGAGTCTGCTGTGTATCCCGCTTCCATGTTGGATCGTTCTCTCCCTTTTTTATTCTATCAGTTAGTATTTGCAGACACTAGTCTTGTTTATGTGATCCCTTTGACTCTTAGTCCTATCATTATGATCAATTGTTCTTTTCTATTTCTACTCCACTTAGAAACAGTTGGTAATTGATGAGTGATCTTATCTTCAACTCTAGGAGATAATGTCAGACTGTTTTCTAAAGGTATTGTGTTGATTTATATCTGCACCAGTAGTATTCATGAATTCTCAGTGCTGTATATCCTCACCAGCACTTGATATTGTCAGTTTTTAAATTTGCATTCCCTGAAGCTAATGAGATTGAGCATCTTTTGTGAAGTGCTTGTTTGTCTTATTTGTGTACATTGTCTTACCTATTCTTGTCAGCTTTTAACAGTGTGTTATATTTTTAACTTTTTTCAATTTATTTTGGAAAATGAGACAAACATCTTCATATTCTTTTTTTTTATTATTTGAAAGGCAGAGGGACAGGCAAATAGAAAGCTCCCATTCACTGAGTCCCTCTCCAAATGCCCACAATGCCCCTAGGCCAAAGATGGGAGGCAGGTATGCAATTCAAGTCTCCTACAGGACTGGCAGCGACCTCATGACTTGAGCCTTCACTGCTGCCTCCCAGCTTCTGCACTGGCAGGAAGACACAGTTTGGAGCTAGAACTGGGAATTGAACCCAGGTTTTCTGATGTGAGATACAGGAGTCCTGAACCACTTTGAAGTATATGATTCATTGGTGTTCAATACATTCATAATGTGTGCAACCATCATCCATCTCCATATTTTTATCATATAAACCCGAAGCTCTAAGCCAAATAACAAAAACTCCCCATTTTACCCTCCACCCAGTTTCTAGCAACCACTGCTCTGCTTTCTGCCAGCTCTACTTGACTTATTTCCATTAGCATGAAATCCTCAAAATTCATTTATGTCAAGGCATATTACAGAATTTCCTCCCTTTTAAAGATTTGATAGTATCTATTGCTTGGGTTTAATACATCCTTCAGGGGATACTTGTATTGCTTCCACATTTTAGCTGTAATGATTGATGCTGCTATGAACATCAGTAGGACACCTGGAAGTAGAATTGCTGAATCATGTGAATTCCTTACAACTTTTAGACAACATTCATATTTTCCATGGTGGTTGTACCATTTTATATTCCCACCAATGATGTGCAGTGGTTATGCCATCTTTGTACTAATCTGTTGTAGAACAACCTCCCAAATTAGTTGGAGGTGTTGCTATAGAATCTTCAAACCTCAGTCTGCTCACCCAATACACAGAAAGCCAATCACTGACATTGGAGTGGTGGAAGATAGGAGGTATTTATTGCAAAACACAGAGCAAGAGGATAGGCAGCTTTTGTTTAATACCTGGGCTCCCCAAGAAGTTAGGAGGCAACAGTCTAATTATACATTGAAACTGGGGCTGAGAGGTACAAGTTCGCCTCATGTCCAAGTACCTGGTTAGTCAGTGGTACTTGTCACCTTGCTTTGGTTGGCAATGCCATGCTCTTAAGGAAAATTTTATGATGGCCAGGTGGGATTCAGTTGGTCTCAGGGGTTACATACAAGTAGTAGTTAACTTTTGCCACAGACCTGCGATTTTTTCTACTTGGACCTGGAATTCCCCTAAACAAAACCCTCAGACAATACTGCCAAGAGAGTTTTATCTATTAGAGAAGCAAATGACTTCTTGAGTCTGGTAATTAGAACTTTGTTGGGCCAGCTGTATCACTCCGACAATTCAATGAATTTCTTTGTATAAAGGACAGGCAAGGACATCTTGTACTAAGGGAGGCAGATGAGAGTCTGGGTCCTGCTTTATGGGTTTGGTCTCGAGCCCTTTATCAGATACTTGTGTTGTACATACATTTTTTCACTCCATGACTTGACTTGTCACTCTGAAAAGTCCTACCTTTGATTTGTATTATGAAAAATGTCAATGTGTTTGA